CGCTCTCTTGTGTCTCCCTTTCACACCGAACTTAGATCGAAAACTGGCTCTCCATCTGATCTTTCGTTCCGAATTTCGATCGAAAACTGGCTCTCCATCCGATCTTTTGTTCCGAATTTCGATCGAAAGCTAGCTCTCCATCCGGTCTTTCCGTCCAAATTTCAATCGAAAGCTAGCTCTCCATCCGATCTTTCGTTCCGAAGTCTGGTCGAAAACTGGCTCTCCATCCAATCTTTCCTTCCGAATTTCGATCTACAGCTAGCTCTCCAGCCGATCTTTCCTTCCGAATTTTGATCGAAAACTGGCTCTTCCACCTTTTTGCTCCAAACTCTGGTTGCAACCCCGCTGTCTCCATTCGGTCCCGTCGGACTAATTCTGCTTTTCCCCCTCCCACCCCGCCCCGCCCCGCCCCCACCGGCCGTGTCCTCCGTCAGGCCATCTTCTTCTTGACGTGGGCGCAGTCGTACTTGCCGCGGATGATGCGGACTTTGACGCCGGGCAGGTCCTGCTTGCGCCCGCCTTCCACCAGGACGGCCATGTGCTCCTGGAGGTTGTGGCCCTCGCCAGGGATGAAGCAGACGAGCTCTTTGCCCGTGCTCAGGCGCACCAGGGCGCACTTGCGGTTGGCCGAGTTGGGCTTCTTGGGCTTGCGGATGAGGGTCTTCAGGACCACCCCTTTGAGCTGAGGGTGGCCCTCCAGGGGGCCCGGCGGGGATGGGGGACGCTTGGGGCGGCCCAGGCGGTGCATCTGGGTCAGGGTGGCCATCCAGCGGGCACCTGCGAGAAGTGGAGGAGAAAGAGACAAGAGAGTTTGAAGGGTGAAGGAGCTAGAGAGCCCTTATAGATCCTCACTCCAGCCAGGCTGACCGGCAGCCCCCCTTGCCATCCAGCCTGAGGAGACACTCGGCTCTTCCTCGCAAGTTTCCTCGCCCAACCTCGCAGCACAAAGCCCTGCCCCCACCCCTGGTCCAAGGTTAGCCCTGCCTCCCAGAAACCCCGCCTCCCAGAAGCCCCGCCCACCTGTCCTTCTTCCCCCCCAGTTAGGACCCCCTCCTTCCCAAGCTCCGCCCACCCTCTCAGGTTACAACCTCCCCAAATGGCCTCTGAATCGACCTGGAAGGCACTCTCCCGCCCAAGCTCTGCCCCCTCCCACCCAAGCTCCGCCCC